TAAATAAACAAATAAACAAATAAACAAATAAAGACAGACAGACAGACAGACAGACAGACAGACGGTCAGTCTCAATGCTAGCAGCAGCAATCCGACAGCGATTCTTGATTATTAAACGTGTCCTACCCCTGTCCCAAGGTTCGCAAAGGCTCCCCCAGGGCAAAAGGAAGCCTCTGAACCTGAAAAGGGGAAATAGGAAGGGTTCAATTCATTTACATTACTTATTTTTGATGCGTGGATTCAATATATACTGGTGCATTTACACCTGCAGGATTCTGCCCAGAGTTAAAGCCCCAAGCCTGCTTCTTTAAAATAGCTTTTAATTACCGTATTTTTCGCACCATAAGACGCACTTTTTTCCCACAAAACAGGGGGGTGGAAAGTCTGTGCGTCTTATGGAGCGAAGAAAACATATTATATTTTCCTGTTTTCTTCTCCTAAAAAATTGGTGTGTCTTATGGAAAGGTGCGTCTTATGGAGCGAAAAATACGGGTAATTTATTTGCTACACATGCTGTTTTTATTTTGTTTCAAAACAGCTTCACAATAGTAACTATGTCCCAGTGTAGTCGTTTTCTGTTTTGCTTCTTTTGCTTATTTCTTTGCCTTTAAGTTGCATCAACAATAGTTAGTTGCTGTGGGTAGACATGGTCCAGAAAGGCAGCTTTCTTTCTTTCTTTCAAGGCAGATAAGAGCCTACAATAAGGTTAAGGAAACGATCAAAAGTTATATGACTATGTGTATTGTATACATTCGTTATGTAAGTATTCAGATATAGACACAGATACATACACACACAATCTAACAATAGTCAGGATCCAAACAACTTTTTGAACTAGCTCTTTGTGCCCAAGAGGCCTCCAAAGTTGGGAATAAGTACATGATACTTCCAATCATGTTAAATCTCACTCCTCCCTCATATGTAATATGGCAATTAGGAAGTGTGTAGGAACATTTAAAGCCGTTTACAGTAAGAAGCTGTCAACCAGAATTTTGGAAAATGCTTGTAGGAACAATAACTAAAAAAAAAATACTTTAGAACAAAATCCATTAACATTTTGCTTTAAGCTTCCAGTTTCTGAAAATCATTTCAGTTGCACACCATGATTATAGAAAAAAGGGAAAAAAAGTACCTTGTCTAATTTCATGTCCAAGGTGAGATTAGCATACACAGGCTGGTTGGGAGAAGCGAACTCCAGTTGTTGAAACTTCCTCAGCATATCTAAAGCCACTTCTGCTTCATATACTGGCCTTGGGTAACACCATGCCAAATACACATCATCTGTTGGTTCACTTGGTGCAGGAAATTCCCAGCGCAGTCTTTTCTTGGTCTCTGTTTGCACAGGGTTTTTTTTGGACTTTGCTCTAGAATGCATTTTAAGGAAAGGGAAGTGATAAATGATGCAGTCCAGCTGAACAAATACTCATGCACATTTCAAATGTCTAACATCAGTACTAGCAACAGGGCTGCTCCCAATCTATAGCAAAATGTGCAGGAGGCCTGCACATTAGTCGACTGCTGCAATTTTTACATATATTCTTGAATTTTTATATAAATTATCTCTCTCGCTCTCTGTGTGTGTGTGAGAGAGAGAGAGAGAGAGTGTTTGTATACAAAGAGAGAGAGAGAAAGGGAGAGGGAGAGAGAGAGAATTTATATATAAATTCAAAAATAAAACAGATCTAGCAGCAGACATCAGTTGGTGGCTCAGGATTCAGAAACAGCTGGCACTAGTGACATCAGCATTCTCGTTTTGCTTGTCTATAACTAAAGTACAGCAAAGAAATAAATAATAACATCGATCACCACAGCATTAAACAAAAAAAGCATTTAAAAGCTTCACTAAATCCCTGTTGAAATAACACAGACATGAGAAAGACACAAAGGATGAAGAAAGGTATACAGCAGAAGGAGAGAAATAAAAGCAGTAAAACTGAAAGTGCATTCCATGTTAGTTTGTTCTTAAAAGTAAGTGCCCAGTATGAAATTGAATCATGTTAAAAGATACAACTGAGCTATAGTTATTCTATTAGTGGTTACTATTATTTAACAAATGTTTATTCTATTGATTTTAATATTTATTTACATCATAGTAACAAAAATATGCAATCAAACCTTTACTCACCTTGCTTTTTTGTATATATGCTCATGTGATTTAATTTAAGAAGCTGTACAGTAACAGAACTACGTAAGGAATGAGGGAAATTGAAATGAAAATATCCCAAAACTTTATGAATTAAATAGCTTTCTTCTCAACAGCACAGCAAAGAAAGAAGTTTTCATTTTCACCATCTTGGACTGCTGTGTAAAACTGTAATCAATTTCAGATGGACTCCAGCCTGAACATGACTTGAAACCATGATCTGTACAGAGCATATGCAATCCACCAAGGCCTTCTCTCGTGTAAGCCTCACTCCAATCAAGGAGCCCTCTTCAAGAGACTGACCTTGTTCTTATACAATCCTTGTACCAGAAGATTCCTGAGAAACTTCCCTGTAGAATCTGTTCCTATAAATAAACCGTCATTCTCTTTTACTCAAGCGCCTATATGAACAGATAGTTTTCCTATTAAAAACTCTCCAAACATAATAAGATGGATCGTAACTGTGAAGGAAACCCCTTCTGTATATTTCCAAGATTCAATAGGATGAACTCCCTCTTCTTCTCTTCTCCCCCCACTCCCCATCTTGTTAAATTAATAACTACAGTGGTGCCCCGTATAGCGAGGTTAATCCGTTCCGGATTAACCTTCGCTATACGAAAACATCGCTGTGCGGGGCAGGAAAACCTATTGGAACGCATTAAACTTAGTTTAATGCGTTCCAATAAGTTTGTAAACTTCCCCCTCCAGCGATGTTTTCGCTCCGGCGGCCATTTTGGAGCCGCCGATCACTGATCGGCGGCT